CCGAGCGTCGCGTCACTGCTGCTCCGGTGGGCGGCGCTCCGAGCGGGGTCATCTGGCAGTCTCCAGCCACCTAAATTAGGACCCGGAGACTGCCAGATGACCCCGCTCGGAGCGCCGCCCACCGGAGCAGCAGTGACACGACGCTCGGCGAGGTAAGTAAGAAGAAACCTCACCAGCTCGAGACGCTGACTCGAGTATAAGCCGAGGGGGGCATTTTTCAGCACAAAAAATGGGCTGAAAAAATCGGCTTATACTCGAGTATATACGGTAAGTAAAATAATCTGAGTGGATTAGACTTCAAATGACTGAAGATTTAGGACCGGCCAGCCCAGCAAATTCAGCCTAAAAGAACCCCATCATTTCATCACAGGGTGTGCTGGTAACTCTTGCAATAGCTAGTATCTGCAGCCAGGAAGAGATTGCTGGGTGCTATGTCTGGAAAAATAGGATTTTTGTACTCGCCATGAAATCCTTTTCTTGGAATCTATCGAGGGGCACAGGCATAAAGGGTTTCTAAACCCTCAGCTTTTTTTGCATATATCTACTGCAGGCAAGCATTAGATATATGCAAAAAGTTTTTTGTTTTTTTTTTAAACGCTTTAACAGCGGTTTAAACTTGCTTGTGTGTTCCCTGCACGCTCCCGTCCGAAAATGTGAAACTGCACAGCCGGCCGCAAAGCATCTTGGGCTGGCGCATGCGCAGTTCACATTTTCGGCCGAGACGCGAGGAAATACACAAGGTAAGTCTATGGACGTGTGCACCCGCATGCAGACACCGTGGGAGAGTACGTGCCAGCAACCTCAGAGGAGTCAGCGCTGGATCAGAGATTCGCTGCAGCGCTGGAGAGAAGGCTGAAAACTACAGGAAAGAAGAAGAAGATCAGATTAAAAAACCTAATTTAAGGAAAGTGCTTTAATTAACGTTGGGGTGAGGGAAAAATGTTTTGCCTTCATGTCGCTTTAACTGTCAGGTAATACTGCTCCCTGGATCGGACACTGGCAAACAAACAAATTGTAAGCCAGTCAAGGATAACCCCTCCTACTCCCAGCATGCCTCAGTTTTGTAGCAAAGCAGTAACGAGAGCATTATCATAAACACAGAGTGGTGGGACCTATGTCCCTCAATGGATTGAAGAAAAGGATTTTACAGGCAATACAAAAATCCTATTTTCGGTCTTGTCAATAGAGGTATACAGGAAGTCATTAACTGTAAAGATGACCCAAAGCAGTCCAACTGAGCGGTGGGCAACAACAACAACAAAATGTGAAGAGGACCACTAAAAATTACAAAAACGGGACTGCCTGCAGCTCATAGAACCGCCTGAAGGACCTTACCCTGAAGCTGGAATCAGATGAGGCTTAAACATCCACCTGGTAGAACTTGGAAAACGTGTGAACAGCAGACCAAGCGGCAGTATTGCAAATCTGTGAAATAGAAGCCTGATGCCAAAGGCCCAAGAGATACTCAGTTCCTGTCTTAGACAGGAAAGGGTGGAATGCTATCCTAAAAACCATAAGCTTGTATAATGGTTTGTCTGAGCCTAAGAGAAATAGTGGAATGAGAAGGTGGTTCACTTGTATGGGGACTATTCAGAGGGTCAATCTTTCTGAAAGAAGCAGTGGCTGAAGACTTTCACAGCCTGAACCACATTCAGATAGTGGGGGGAAAGCTCGTTCTGGTGAGAGGCCGAAAATGCCTTGGGTAAGAAGAAAGTTCTGGGCCTCAGCACTACCTTTTCTGTCATGTGCCTCGCTGGGAGCCTGAGATGACAATGGCAGCCTTTCCTGATGCTCCAGTCCAAGCAACCGTGTAGTAGGCCAGCTAGTGCAGGGACAAAGGAGTGGCACTAGTGCAGGTGGGTTATGATGCTACCGATGTCACTGGAACTTGTGAGTGCACTAGTCTCATGGCTAGAGGTGACAGGAGATGCAGGATACCAGCTAGAAGAGTCCAGATACACAAAGTACAGATAAGCAAGACTTTTATTATGATATAACACAACAGGGCACCCAACAAATCCCTGAATCCTACCACACAATCCTCACTACAGGATCCAATTCCCTGAGATACCATCACATCTATCCACACTATAGAATCCAATCTTACCTGTCTACTGCACAGTCCAATTCCTCACAACACAATCCTACCTACCCACACTTCCTGGAACCTCCTAACCGGCCTTGCAGTGCATCTTGTAGATAAGAAATCACCTTGGAAGGCTTGCAGCCATTATGGAAATCCTAATATTTAATGAAGGATTACCCTGGTGTATTATCAATTTAGGATTGCTTCACTTCCCCTGACAATACATTCATCTTCCTTTCCAGAAGAACAGCTCCATCTTTGTTCAGGTATTATTATTTATGGTCAGAATCTACCTTCTGGGATAAGCTGCCTACTATAGATGACACAGTCATGTAAATCACAATGTCTAGGGAAGGGGATATTTCAGAAATGATTTTGCCTGCCTGCAGGGTAATGATAATTTCCCAGATGTTTTGTTTGTCTTGGGATTTAAATGATAGTTACAAATATATATATTCAATATTATGTATTGATGCAGGTTGCCAAAGTTAGGTTGGATTTGAATAAGTCTATCTTTATTATGAAGACTGAAATTGAGGATAGATCGCACCACAGGAGCTTCATTCCCTTGTTAGCAAGGGAGATTCTGCAGCATTCAGGGCCAGTGGGGTAGCGATTCCACAGAGGTAAGTAGAAGGCTATCCTGCATGATTCTGCCAATGTGTCACCAGTAACACAGTTGCTCGTGTGACATCAGCTTTAGTCTT